GTCATTGGCTCGAGCTTCTCAAGGACTATGATTGTGAGATTAATTATCATTCGGGTAAAGCTAATGTTATTGTTGATACTTTGAGTCGTAAAATAATATCAAATATGAGGTCATTACTTGCCAATATGAAGTTATATGATGATCATTATGTTAGTAAAGTTATAAATTAAGCCTACCTTGGCCGAGGAGATTAATCCAAGCTATGCTAGATAGGTCATTGCTTTCCATTATTGAGCAAGTTGAGCATGGATACATCACAAATTATGATTTTGACTAGGATGTTATTTTGTGCTTCAAGGGTCACTATTGTGTGCCTGATGATGCAGAGGTGAGACGAGTTATCCTTAGTGAGGCTCATTGTAATCCTTATTCCATGCATCTAGGTGGAGATAAGATGTATCAAAATCAGAGAGAGATATCGTTAGGTTGGTATGAAGAAATATATTTCTGATTATATGGCTAGGTGTCTAACTTGTCAGCAAGTTAAAGAAGAACATCAACATTCATCTGGTATATTGCAGCCTATAAATATTCCTTAGTAGAAATGAGAGAGTATCAAAATGGAATTTGTTACTGGTCTACCCCTGACTCATTCGAAAAAGTAAATAATCTGGGTGATTGTTGATAGACTCAACAAGTCAACTCATTTTATCGTTGTTCAAGTTAATTATTCTCTGGACAAGTTAACTATATTGTATATCTTAGAGATTGTTAGATTGTATGACATTCATTTATCTATCATTCCAGACCCAAATTCTAGATTTACTTCGAGATTTTAGAAGGCTTTGTATGAGGCTCTAGGTACTCGTCTGAATTTAAGTATAGCTTTTCATCTACATACTGATAGTTAGTCTAAAAGAGTGATTCAAGTTTTGGAGGACATGTCATGGGGTTACGTGATTGACTTTCATGGTAGTTAGGAGGACTTCTTGCCTTTGGTTGATTTTACTTACAATAATAGTTATCATGCTATTATTCATATGGCACTGTATGGGGCTCCATATGGGTGTAGATGTGGAAATTTTATCTGTTAGACTGAGCTACGTGATAGGAAAACTTTAGGTCCAGAGTTAGTAAGAGAGACTAAGGATACTGTCAGATTGATTTTTGATTTCATGAGAGATGTGTTTGACAGACATAAGTCTTATCCTGATCATAAGAGGGAAGATATTGAGTTTGAGGTTAGTAATCATATATTTTTGAAAGTATCTCCATTGAGGAAGGTGCTGAGATTTGGATGTAAGGGTAAGTTAAGTTCGAGGTTTATTGGACTCTATGGTATTCTGAAAAAAGTCAGACATGTTGCTTACCAACTCTAGTTACCTCCCTAGCTTAGCAATATTCATGATGTTTTTTATGTTGAAGCTTTACCGTTTGGATCTGAGTCATATTATTAATAATGAGGATTCAAGTTGAGACCAAATTTATCGTATGATGAGGAGCATGTTTAGATTTTGAATCGGGACAAGAGAGTTCTTCGGAATATGCATATTCCAATTATAAAGGTTTGATGGAGTAAAAATAGTCCCACAAAAGATACTTGAGAGATATAGGAATCAATGAAGACTCATTTTCCGCATATGTTTGATTCAAATAAATTTCAAGGATGAAATTTTCTTTAGGGGAGAGTTGTCACACCCCTAAATTTTATTTTTTATTAATAATATTGAATTAATTATTACTAGGGACCAAATTGCAAGATTCTAAAAATTTTAGGTTATTTTCATATTTCCAAAATATTCAAGGACCTAACCTTGAGTTTACCCAACTCATGTCAGCCAAGAAAATAAAAAAAAATAGAAGGATGTAGCTAATTAAGATTGAACTCATGACATTAGGAATGGTGTGTCACGCCTCTATCATTTAGGCTAGGGCTTTATTAGTAACAATAACTTAAATTTATTTTATTTAATCAACATGTTATATTTTAAAAAACCCAAAAATCAGTTCAGATTTGATTCAAACATAGTCACGAAAAGCCTAAATTCCCAAAGAAATCCATCATCCTCGTCGCCCTGCCCAACGTCGTCCACCCTTCTCCAATAAGTCATGTTGTGCACAGCCACCACCAGAGTGTTCGCCACCAATCTATGATCAAAACCCTATCGACAACTTATCATGGATCGCCACCGTTTAACATAGAGAGCCCCATGAAGTCTCGTCTGAAGCCTAAACAATCACCTCTGATTTCTTCGATTCAAGTCGATTCCATCACCCGTGCATTGCACCGTCATAGCCATCATGCTTCTTGGGTTGTACCAATAAAAACCTAAGTGGTTTTCTCAGCCCGTCATTGCTCCATTATCGTCCGTCATTGGGTAAGCTCCTGATCACCGTTTCGATTATGTTTCTTTAATTTTTGTTTGGATATTTTGGTTGATATGGATTGATTATAGAGAATTAGTGCATCTTAAATGATCAACCTTCCGTTGTCGACCATTTCACCATCTCACATGTCGCCTCTACACATGAGGCTCCTCCATTGGCTAAAAAACTTCTAGAACTGGTTCGAGCCAACTTGAAATAGTTCGAGTCATCCTGAACCGATCTAAGTCAACTAAAACAGTCAGACCCATTGAATTGACCCGACCTATTGACCTTGAACCATCCTATTGACTGAATTGAACCATTGACTTTGACCAGAGTTTACTTTAACCAAAAGTTTACTTTTCAAAAAAATCATGCTTTAAGTTTTTCGACATCTTGAGTTTTATTTTATGGTATGTTTTTCTAAATTCTAACCCGAAAGCCTTCAACTGAAACTTGGAACCCTGAACATGCATATGTATTTAACTATTGTATTCAAGCACATTTAAACTAAGGACAATGACTGATTTATAATGTTGTTTTTTGAAGGTACTCATGATTCTCTTGATCGTTCGTTAGGTCAACCCAGCTCCTCCCAATCCATTCGATTGCACAAGCACAAAATTACCAGTAAGGTTTTGTAAATTTATTTGGTTAATTGGATTAAAATATTAATTCTTTAATAACCTTGTTTCATTATGACTTAAGTTCGAGCACTGTTGTATAGCGTGGCGAGACCGATATTTAGTAGACTTTCCGGATTGATCCCATTTTACGAGGTGTGTTCCTTATGTGCTATATGACTATTTTATATCCTTTAAAATATGATTGTTCTATATGTTTTGATTTATGATTGAATTATTTGATTGAAATCCTGATTCTTTTACTGATTACAAACTATGATTGCATGATGCATATTATTTGATTATCGATTTGACTGAAAAATATAAATATGTTTGATTAAAAGAATTATGATATTAACGTTTACTATCTGAAATTGTTTTGTTGGGGTACTCTTTGGTATGTATTATGGAGTTTTGCAGGTTCAACTTCGAGCAAGCTGATAATTCCTTATAGACCTAATGTGACCGTTGAGTAGGCTCTTAGGCCCCAAGGTACTCTCTTAGGTTGACACCTGTACCCAATAGGTATAGGGTGAGTCCTTATGGATGCAATTTTGGGAGACTACATTTCGCTGTACGGGTGAAAGATATTTATGGGTTTTAAATAACCTCATTGACACTTTTATGATATTTTACTGAACTACTTTCCTAAACTTTTTAGTAATTTTTATTTTGCACTTTTTGGAACACACTGAGCTCCTTTACTCACTCTCTCAACTTTCCCCTTTCAAATACTTTTGGATAGGCACCCCGAACTTGACACTTGGAAGATTGACACAACATGTATCATATTTTATTGTAATGTTTCTATCTTTCGGATTGTCTTTATTTTGGGTGACATGTGTCTATGTTTTGAGATACTTATTTTATGGTGTATCTTGCTTTATTAATGATGTTTGAATTACTTCGATAATGGTTACTTGGTATTTTGTATTTACGCATGATGTTTTATGTTTATATTATTGTTTTGATTATATTATAATTTTAAAATATTGAAGAACATTTTAAGAAATTTCTTGTAATCCGCTAGATCTAATCGTAATGTATAGGCCAGATCTAGGAGTTACATGTCTTTTCTACCTTATGTGCATCATTATTTTTTTTATAAATACAATCAAAACGTTCACTCAAATTCTATCTTGCTTTTCCTTGTTTTGTTGTCTTTCTCTTTGTTTTTTTTTCCGTTCATCAAGCCTTATTGTACATTGATTATAGTAATTATATTATGAGATTGATTATAGTTTGATCATTGAATAAAAATTTGAATTTATTAAAATTTGAATTTAGTTTTATTTTTTAATGATAATTTAGTTTCATTTAGATCATTAATTATTACCCGTAAACATAAATGTTGACATGATTGTTAATTAAATTTGTATAATAATATATTTAGTCCTCATTACTTGTATATTTTATTAATTTAATGTTAAATTTTAATTAAAATTAATTGAATAAATTTAATCTCTTCATATAGAAGATGATGACATGTGTCATCATTTTATTGATAAAAAATAAAATAAGATATAGAGGACTAACCTATAAGTCTTATAATAGAGGCCATATATATATAAAAGGTTAAGGTCTACTCACACAATGTAAAATTCTTTTAATTTTATATAAATTTAAGATACTATTATATATATAAAAATTAAAATATAATTTAATTAAGATATTTTTAAAATAAAATAAGAAATTGAAATTTAAGATTTAAGATTTAAATATAAACACAACATTCAACAATTGAATCAAGATAAATGTTTATTTTAAGATTGCAAAACATGAAACCTTCCCATAAACTTCAAAAGCCTCCCATCTCTGATTTAATATCTTATAACAAATCCAACGTTATCCCATTTCCACATGACAGCCTTTCACTAACAAAAAAACATAAATAAAGATGTATTTATAAACTAATTATTAATGCAAAATCCCATTTTGTTTTGAGTGGCAACTCCCAAATTTGGCACACATAAATAAAACATACTTTACTTTTAACGCAAGAGGGAAATAGTTCGCGTGAACGAATTAAAACTGGTATTTTTTCTTTTCTATCATACTAACGTACAGTAATTCACCGTCATCCTTATTTCAGGTAATCGGAGCCGCCGTAGTGTCACCGCCGTTTCTAGTTGCTAATATCACTGACCGTCACCGTCCTTTCCTACCATAATTGCCACACCGTTAACGCTGCTATCAGATCCTCCTGTGTTGCCGCCATCGCCACCGTCTGGGCTCATCAAAGCTACAATGTCCTTCTCCATAGCTTTCTGGGCATCAAAATTCTTGTTACCCTCTGCTTGAAGAAACTCAGAGACCAATTTGTCCACAGCTTTTTTGACCGCGAGCTTTTGATCCCTCTCACTCGCAAGCATCAAACGCTCATTTTCCTTTGCGTCCAAGGCAGCTATATCAGCCCTCAGCCGCTCTTCCATTACCCTTGTTCTCTCCCTCTTCTTTCCTAATTCAGCTTCAAAGAGGCGTTGGATGAGCTCCATAACCTGGTGCCAGTCTAGATCCTATGTGAACCAGACAAAAAAAAAGGTCAGTTGGAACTCAACAAAAGGTAATTAAACATAGTATTAGTTCAAAACACAGAAAACAGACCATTTGAGGAAGATGCAACAAAGAACTGACCGCGTAATGTTGAATGTTGTAATTCATGAAACAGGGGGAGGAGGTAGATATAGTTGTGGAAGGGGGGACCATCTTTTAAAAGAAAATTTTCTTTCGATAAGTTTTGGGCAAAAGACAAGATCGCGCGTATGGAGTTACTTAGAGACCGAAGATCATTATACGTTCGTCAGAACACTAACGAAAGGAATAAATATTCCAAAATGATTCCAGCTGGTACGATTCATATTATTCTTTTTCTCTACGACTCCGTAACACAAGTATCAAACTAATGAAAGTAATAAATATTCTGATACGTTTTGTTTTAGATTTTGTATTTAACAGAACCGCAATTTTGACTTAGTAACTCTAATACTACAAAAAAAAATGTAATTGCTGATGGAATTTCGAGAGAATTTGTTACAGAATTTGTATTTTTGAGGGAAGAGAGTGGTCAAACTCAAATTTTCAATGAAATAAAGTAATCCACCATAAATGTACTGATAGAATCCGTCAGTAAATTTACTGACGAAACATTTAAAATTCGTTGAAAAATTATATATATAAAATATTATATTTTATGCTTCCGACAGAATAAATCTTTTCCGCCAAAATATTAAAAAACAAAAAAAAACTGAATTTTTTAACTTTCGATGGAGTATATTTATTCCGTCGGAAAAATTAAATCTTATTTTTTTTAAAAAAAAGGAAAAATTCTCGGGAATCTACTAGAAAATTTTCATTCCCTCCAAAATATTATAAATCTAATTTTATTTCAATAATTAATGCAAAAATAATAATTAATATAATTCAAATAATTACATTAATTTAAAAATGGATAATAATAATAATTCTAACAAGTGCAAATTGTATATTGATAATCACTTAATAAGAAAACAATAATATATTATAAAAAAAATAATTTACCATATTAGCCAAGACTAAATATGGATTTACTACAATAAGAATATTTGGTTATACACTACACATAAAAACTAATACAATGTTCAATAATAAAAAGAGTAAAATATCACATTTTCATATTAAAGAATTGTTATCATTTAAAAAAATTAAGCAACCTACAAAATATAATGAAATATGTTAATGATTAACTAAAAATAGTATAATAAACAAAGTAAATATTAAAACAATACATTGAACAAAAAATTAAAACTTGCAAAAAGAAAGAAAAACTGCCATGGAACTGCTCTGGGCGCACGATAGCATGTCTAATGGGCTCTCGGATTTGCTCCTTCGGTGCTGATCGTTGTTTCTTTTCTATTGATTTTGGGTGTAATCGGTTTGCTGATTTTCTATTTTATGGAATCTCTGTCTTCTGAGTTTGATTGGCGAAAGCTCTTCCGTGGAACTAAGGAACAATCCCTAGAATTTTTCTCGCCTGAAATTCTTGAGGGGATTCCTACTGTCATTCCTCCTCCCGGCGTTATTGATGAGGGGATTGCTGAATGGGACTGTGCGGTGGTGGGGCAGTTTATTGGTGATGCTCTAAACTTTGGTTCCATGCAAAAAATAGCAGAGATCTTATGGGGGAAATCTTCAAAAATTAAGGTCAGTTTAGTTTGGCATAATCTTTATGTTTTTTCTTTTTCTAATGCGGACTTTCGAGACTAGGTGCTTGAGAATGGCCCTTGGCACATTCAAAACAAGCGTCTTGTGCTTAGGAGATGTGAACCTAGTTTAAAGAAATTAGATTTCGATCTTAAACAAATGCCTATCTGGATTCAACTATACAATGTTCCTTTAGAACTGTTTTCTAGATTGGGTCTCAGTTATATTGACAGTGCTGTGGGGATTCCATTGTACACTGATTCTGTTACTGCCTCCAAGGAGAGACTTGAATTCGCCAAAGTCTGCGTAGAGGTGAAAGCTGGGGAAATTATCCCTGAGGTGATCCATGTAGCTCTAAGGGATGGTTCTTTAGTGAAAGTCAGGGTTTATATCCCATGGTTTCCTAAGTTTTGTGTGCAATGTAAAACTTTTGGCATCTTGTTAGTAATTGTGTTGAAGTGCATAAAGGACCCCTGAAGAGTAAGGAAGCTCAAGTCTGGAGGAAAAAAGTGAGTCCTAATAATCCTGGTTCTTCTGATAAGGAGGGGATGGCTGGTTCTTCTTGCTTTGTTCTACAGAAGACCAGCCCCAGTGGAGAAGTATTAAGGATTGCAGAATTGCAAGTTGGTACTGATGAGGTTATTTTTATTCATGCTCTTCAGGAAACTAATGTTGGCCCTTTGCAAGAGGCAAGGGAAGCTGTTATTGATCAGGTTCAAGGTTCTGGAAAAGTTATGCAGGGTATTGAGAATATACATGTTCATCCTCCTCAGGACAATACTAATGGCACTCTGCAAGGAAGTATGGTTGATGTTCAAGTTCCTGTGTTAGGTGATTTTGATGGCACTGCTGGGAAGTCTTCTAAGCAAAGCATCTCCTATGGTATTGAAGATCATTTAGGGGCTGCTAGTATGACCTTACCTATAGGAACTGGGTTAAATCTTAGTTATGGTGGCGATTTACTATCTCTGCAGGATTCATTGATCCCTAAGAAGAAGGCTAGGGGAAAGATAAAAGACAATGCTGGCTCTTCTAGTAAAATGGAGAGTATGGCTAGAGGTGGTGTTATTGAGGGACCTAGGAAGGCTCGGGTAGCATCTCTGGGGGGGGGACCATGCTTCTCAATGAAATTAAAGCTAAAAAGAAAGATCATTTGGAAAAGGTTAAAGGTTCAGAGGTCAATGTTGAAGCTAGTAGGGGTGACTTTCCTATTTCTAATTAATGATCTTTAGTTTTTGGAATGTAAGGGGGATCAATAATTGTCTTAAGCTAGGTAAACTGATGAGGAGATTGGATATGTTAAGAGTTGATGTGGTTTGTTTTATGGAAACCAGAGTTAGAAATGCCAATTTTTCTAAGGTTGTAGCCCCTCTGTCTGCTGACTGGAATTTAGCTACTAACTATGATTACTCTGATGGGGGTAGGCTTTGGGTGCTTTGGAAAAAAATACCTTTCCTTTTCTGTTTTAAATGGTTGTGATCAGGCCCTATCTATTGTAGGTGATATGGCTGGCCACAAGTTAGTTATCACTGCAGTGTATGACAGCAATAAAAATATGGCTAGGAGGAGCATGTGGGAGCATTTGAAGCTTCTTGAAACTGTAGTTGGCTCTTCTTCTTGGATAATTAGGGGAGATTTCAACATTATTGTAAATGCTCAGGAGAGGTCTCACTTTGATACTATGGGTTTACACAGTACAACTGATATGGATGATTTCAAGGGTTATTTGGTGGATTTAGAACTACAAGATCACCCTTTTACTGGTCCACTCTACACCTGGTCTAATAAGAAGGGTGGTTCCTACTTGGTTAGAAAGTTAGACAGGATTTTAACTAATTCTCAGTGGTTGTTGGAATTTTCTGACTCATCAGTGGAATTCCAAGCACAGGGGGTCTCTGATCACTGCCCTGGGATAGTTTGGACCCAGAAGAATGCTCAAGTTCACAGGTCTAAGCCTTTTAAATTTTTCAATTGCTGGACTGCAAATGAGGGTTTTTTAGGGTTATTAAGGAGTCCTGGCAAGAGCAGTGTACAGGCAATGCTATGCAAATTCTTTTCAATAAAATGAAAAGATTAAAGCCTCTGCTAAAGGAGTTTAATATGATCCATTTTTAAGATATATCTGCTACAGTTGCTGGAAAGAGAGCAGAACTTAAATCTATTCAGATCCATAACCTTGTTCATGATGATCAAAAGAGGCTAGATGAGGATATGATGATTCAGACAGATTTAATTGCCTTAGAAGCTGCTGAAGCTGAGTTCTATAAGCAAAAAGCAAAGGCTCACCAGCTGCAAGAAGGAGATTTTAATACCAGATTTTTTCACCAGAGAGTGGAATCAAATAAGAAGAGAAATACCATCAGAATCATTAAATATGAAAATGGGGTATACCATGAAACTTTTGATGATATGGTTGTTGAATTGGTTAAGTTCTTCAAGAACCTTATTGGTACTGTTGACCCCTTGGCTAGGGGTTGTTCTGTTGAGTATTTGAAGCCTTTGCTGAATTTTTCTCTACCTGAAGGAGCTGCTGATTTCCTTGTTGCTGAGGTTACTGATAAAGAGATCAAAGAAGCACTTTGTAGGCAAGGAAAGGACAAAAGTCCTGGTCCAGATGGCTTTACTTCTTAGTTTTTCAAGGTAACCTGGGAAATTGTTAGTAAGGACTTCCTTGATGCTATAAGGTATTTCCTTCAAACTGCTTCTCTCCTACCTGCTTTTAACGCTACCATCATTGATTTGGTGCCAAAATCCTTGAATGCTTGTATGTCAAAGGATTTTAGGCCATTTTCCTACTGTTCAGTGATCTACAAGACAATCACTAGAATTCTGGCTACTAGGTTAGCAACCTATTTCCCTAGTATGATTTCCCTTAATCAATCAGTATTTTTTAAAGGCAAAAATATTGTTGATAATATTTTGCTTGCCCAGGAGATTGTTAGGGGGTATTCTAGAATGAATTTATCTCCTAGATGCTCTATAAAAATAGATTTGCAAAAAGCTTTTGATTCAATTTGCTGGAACTTTTTGATGGTTGTTCTTGAAGCTTTGGGGTTGCATGTCATATTTTATGGTTGGATTAAGGAATGTGTCACCACCCCTAGATATTCAATTGCTTTAAATGGTAGTTTGGTGGGATATTTTGAAGGTGCTAGAGGGGTTAGACAAGGGGACCCTTTGTCCCCTATCTCTTTGTAATTGTGATGAATGTCCTCTCCTTTTTGTTGAATGTGGCTGCTAAGAATGGTATCTTTAGATTTCACCCAAAGTACAAGAAAACCTCCCTCACACATTTATGCTTTGCTGATGATCTGCTTTTGTTTTGCCATGGTTCATTGGATTCAATATTAGGGGTGGTTAGCATTTTAGAGAAATTTTATGAACTCTCAGGCTTAAGACTAAACGCTATGAAATCTGAACTCTTTGCTTATGGAGTACCTGTGAGTCTTCTGGATCAGATACAGAGTGCCACTGGTTTTAAAATTGGGCAGCTTCCAGTCATGTATCTGGGAGTGCCTTTGGTTACTCGGAAGCTTACTAGTAAAGATTGTTCAGCTTTTCTTGTGAAAATTAAGAATATGATTGATCAATGGTCGAGCAGGAATATTAGTTTTGGAGGGAGGTTGCAGTTGGCCAAATCTATTTTATTCAGCATCTTTGGTTATTGGAGCAGGCATTTTCGAGGTGTGATTCGTTTTGCTGATACAATTGTAAATAGCATTAAAGAGGCTGTTAGAATTAAATTGTATAGATGTCATATGAATAGGATGGATGATGTTAATAGGAGGTTGAGCCTAGAATGGGGATTAATCTAGGCTGTTTGATGTCTTTTGTAGCAGCTTGCTGCTTCTTTTGGATGAATAAACTTATACTTATCCAAAAAAAATTAAAACTTACATCAACATTGATAAATGATAATAAAAAAAAGAAATTAAGTGATAAACTTTTAATGGAAAAAATGAGATAATAAGAATAGAAGAAATGAGAGAAAAATGAGTTTAGAAGGGTTTAAATAGAAAAAAAGTATGATACAAAATGGGTATGTTTGAAATTTTATGTTTCAATGGAGGGAAATTTGAGGAAATGAGCGCGTAAGTAAAAACCTCTAAATTTTATGATGGAACATGTGAACCTGTCAAAAATTTTATGTTTCAATGGAGGGAAATTGGAGGAAAAGAGCGGGTAATTTAAAAAACTCTAAATTTTGTGATGGAACATGTGGACCCGTCACAAATTTTATGTTTCAATGGATGGAAATTGGAATAAGTAAGCGGGTAATTAAAAAAAATTGTGACGGAACATGTTGACCACCATCACAAATTTGTGACGGAACATGTGAACCTGTCACAAATTTTATGTTTCAATGGAGGGAAATTGGAGGAAATGAGCGGGTAATTTAAAAAACTCTAAGTTTTGGGATGGAACATATAGATCCGTCACAAATTTGTGATGGACCCACATGTTCCGTCATAAAATTAAAATACTTTTAAAATCATCAAATAAAATAAAAACATAATAATAATCCTTTTGTTTCTTTTATAATCTATTTGGGTAGTCATATTGTGCATAATTTTAAAGAAAATTAAAAATATAATTTTATTTTTTAAAATTAAAAAAAGTTAGCCGTCTCCAAAAACCTCCCTCTAAATCGTAAAGGAGGAAAAGTGCACTAACCTTGTTTTCTTTTCATTGATGAGCAAATAAAAGTATTGAACCATTACAATTCAACAAAACATAAGATAATATTCAGGCATGACATTTTCTTCGGGCATTAACCTCTGCAGTATTCGACAAATGTCATCGTAGCATGCATTAGGAATCCAATATTGTGCTTTCAAGTGTATTAATTTGGAAACCATTGATAACTTGGACTCATTACTACTGGGACATATCGGTTCAGAAGAAGCAGTAAGTCTATCGTAAGCATCTGTCTTGAACAAATTGGTGGTTGATCATCTTGTGACATATATACATTTAATTAAGGACCACTAATATCTACTTCATGAGAATCATGATTGTTACCACATGGATCATATATATGTATACTTTGGAATTGGAGTACTAGATCCTGTCATATGGTTATAGTAATCAGTGAGAGAAAAACGCGGCTTTCCATGATGCACCCAATTGTTATATTGTGGAACAAACCCTTCGGTGATCACATGAACTTTAATCGTTTTTGGATCTCAAAAACTTTTATTTCTGCATTTAGATCGATTACAAGGACATCTAATATTTCCTTGATCTGTAAATCTAGGCTTACTTAACGCAAATGTGATGAACTCCAACAATGGCCGCTCAAAATCATGATTAATAATGTGACCATTTATTAGCCTATCAATATTGTACATCCAAGATTGATCCATATTGAATACTAAACCTTATTTCTATTGCATTATTAAATTAAAATACTTAAATTAGTAAACTTTTAAATAATAATTTTTAATTTCTACTTTTTAAAATTTTCTAAAAAACCAAAAATCAGGACTTATGGTATTATTATCGTAAATTACATGTAAAATTTTTTAATTACTGTTTTTATTATATGCAAAAGCATTTTTTAACTATGTTACATGCAAAAATATTTTCTTTACTTTTTGATATATTTTACACATTTTTTAATTAAAAGGATAATACTAATAAATTGATAGCATTATGTTTTAAAAATAAATTAAAACTTAGCTCATCTCACAAATTTTGTAGAAAATTTCAGAGTTCTGCAAAAAAAAACCACCAAAAATAAAATTTAAAATATTATTTTTCTTATAAATGTAAAAAATAATAGCTATGTTATCAATATCATTAAAAAGAAGTTTCAATTAGAAAAAACTTGCATTAACTATATAAAAAAAGGAAGCAATTTGCACTATATATATTATCATTGAGCATATGCAAATCAATAACTTTTGTAGAGGAAAAATTTTAATTTTTATAAGAAGATGATTGAGTATGATATATATAAGTCATGAAAATAGACAGCTAAATCATTTAGACATACAACATTTTATAATCTAAAATTACAATGCAAAATAAAAAAAAAGATAAATGCATATAAATAAATAAAAAAGTAAAGGAGGAATGCATATAAATCATTTTATTATAATTTCAAGTGCACATATAAAAGAAAAATTAAATATTTAAAAAATAATATAAAATAAATATGTGAAATACTTATAAATCAGTATATTATAAATGCATATAAAGGGTAATTGTTTACCGGTGTTGATAATTAATAAGTTTTAATTAGATATAATAATTTTTTGTATGTTGGGGTTGAAAAGGAAAATGGGTAGTTGTAGATTAAATGTGTTGTAAGTAGTTATTTTTATTTTTTTTATTTCCATTGGAACGATTATTACATCACAAATTAAATTTGTATGTTTATGTTAAAGTGAACAAAATTTCCGAAGGAATCATTGTTCCGTCATAAATTAAATTGATATTTTTATTGAAATGAACAAACTTTCTGACGAAAAAAATAATTCGGTCAAAAACTACAATCAGATCACAACTTTGTTACAGAATAATTTATTTTCTTCGGTAAATTGTGACGGGTTTTAAATCCGCAGGAATTTTTCCATCGGTAATTTGAAATTTTTTGGAGTCTTCACCTTTTAACTTCCATAGTATGTCCGAATAGAGGAATATCTTACCCGCACCTTTAAAATTTTATCTCTTACGTAACTTGACATAAAAATATATTTTTATTTAATAAATTTTTTTAATTGAATATATATATACATAATCACAATTTTTTCATTTTTCAACTATTATATATTATTAGTATTATTATTATTATTATTATTATTATTTACATATAAAACCCAGGCCCATTTACAAACCCAATACCCAAACCAAAACCCAAACCCGGGCCCAAACCAAAACCCACAAACCTTAATATATCCTAAGTCACTGCCACCGTCAAGTTGGTTCCCACAACCGCAGCTCGAGTCCGTCCAAGTCCAGCCACACTGGTCGTCGCCGCCGTCAAGCCTAGTTGAACCAAATCTCATTAGAGATCTCAACAAAGCCTAAACATTCCGGGGCATTAAAAGAAAATTCATCATGCACACAGTGTTGTCAGAGGAGCAAGTAGGATTAGGATTTTTTTTATCTCTATATAAATCGGGTATAAGAACCTGAAAATTAACTTGTAATAGGACTTCCCCATTGATTTTCGAAGAATACAAAAATAAAAAATAAAAAACGTTTCCAGAGGTAAAAACTTTTTTATCACCTTATCATTTTTTTATTTCTTTTCGAAACTATGCAAAAAAGTAAAAAAAAAAGATTATTTACCTTGTTGCAGTCGACTCTTAGCTAGAGTGGAGAAGTCGAGTTCCCCTTGGGGAATTTTAGATCCGTTTTTAGGTATTTAGTCATCGATTTTAGGGTTTAGAGAGGGAGATTAAGCATTTTGGGTGGTTTTGGGTTAGGTCTAGTGTACTTCGGCCCCCGTGGGTGGTGACCGGCGACGTTATTGCGACGGGACTTTGGCTCTGGGGCGAGAAAAAGGGAGTGGAGAGAGAAGAGAGAGTTTTTTTAAGTTGGGTTACAAATGAGAAAAAATAAATAAAAGTGTCTTTTATAGTGAAAGTTTAGGGGTTATTTGCATATAAGTCCCCCTAAAG